TGTATTAATTGATATTTAATATACATTTTGTATAGAAACCAAGTGTATTAACTGATATTTAATATACATTTAATGTTCATTATTTCATTTACAGGATGGTATTATGTACCAACACAAGGTCAGTTTAAAGAAAGGGAAGACATGTACGGAAGTCAGGAGATGGTGAAGGCTAGAGAATTAGGGAAATAACTTGTTACTAAGATATGTCGTACAGGATTATTATGAAACAAAGCCACTTATTATTTTAATGCATTGCTTTTGAACTTTTAATGTGGTTTATTGACATAATTTCCTCTTCACAGTTTTAGACATAATATAGATATAAGAGGATTTTCAAATAAACTTTCAGTAACCTGAATTAAAGAAGAATTGAAGAATTAAGTGTAAGATATTGTATGAAACATATTGTTTTGCATCAAATTTTGTGAATAAACATTGAGTAAATATTGTTCCTTATCAATCTATATTGTTGCTGTGTAATGCTTTGGCTATAAAAATGTGTACAGAACCATTAAGGTACGCTATAGGAAAATACTCATCATAAATAGGTTTTAGTCTGAAAGGTAGACTAGATTCAGACTACTAAAAGTAATGGTAGAGCTGTACACATAATTTTGTGTATTTATTAAAGAAAACATATTCAATTTTTATGTTGACCTTTTTTTTAGCTCACCAAAACCGAAGGTTCAGGGTGAGCTATTAGTATCAAAGGGGGATGCCCTGTCATCATGCGTCAACATTCATCTTCTTCTCTGAAACCACCTGGCAGATTTACTTCCAATTTAGTCTGACAGTTGCACTTAAATTTACTCATTATGCTCAGCGGATTATAGGAATGGCCTCAGTCAGTCCGCCATCTGAGCTTACATATGAGAGCTATTCGCTTCATTCCGTAGTTAAATATTTTGACTCAATATAGCCCATATTTGAACTAGAACTAAAGATCAACTTTTATGACTGTCTGAATGTCCAAAACAGTAGCCTCAAGAGTGTTAATAAGAGATTTCTATTTTATGCTCCAGTGACCTAGCTTTTCATGCGAGAAACATGGAAAAACATTTTGACCAAGTTAATAGAAACAATTGATGTAAAAATATAAACATTAGATTGTAAATGAACTATAAGTGGACGGACAACAGACGACAGACCAGCAAAATTCAATTATCCTAAATGTTCACCCTGCCAGCTCAGGTGAGCTAAACAGTTGATTCTTTTAATATTCCAGTCACAAAATTGGTTAAATTACAGGTAAATTATGCAGAAAAGCATGTTTCAGAAATACTATAAAATCCAATATCCTGTAATTGTGAAAAAAAAAAATCAAACAATAAATTGATTGATTGATTTTCTTTAGACCGGGCGGTCAACGATAACCTATGAAAGTGCAAGCACTTATTTCCAGTAGGGTCCTTAACTCAGCAGACTCTAGAGACAGCTATGAGATAAGTCCGGGAATCAGTCCTTAGCTCTTATTGAATAGATCCCTCGGTTCTTTTACATGCCCAGTGTATAGCACTGATACATGCGAGTTTGTTTGTTTCAATTTACGCCTTTTCCCAACGAGTTTTTTTGTTTCACTTTATGCCTTTTCCCAACAGTATTTCAGTCATATAGATGGGTAGTTTCCTAACCATTGTTCCTGGAGAGTTACACCAGTACTAGACCTCTTTCCTCCATGCTTAACTACCAAAGCATCTCCCGGTGATCGAACCCACGCCAGAGAGGTAACTGGATTAGAAGTAATCAATTCTAACCCCTCGACCACGGAGTCCGTCTTGATACATGTGAGGATTACCTGGGTTTCTTACCAGTTAACCTCTAGGTAGGTGGAAAACACTGAAAGTGTCTCTGAAAAATCCCAAGGGTGTTACATAGGATCGAACCCGGAACCTCAGGAGTAACAGTCATTGGTCTAACCAAGTGAGCTATGGCACAACCTCAAATCGATGTGTGTGTGTGTGTACGTGTGCGGATGCACATGCATGTGTATTTGAGTTGGTGTATCAAACATTATAGTAAAACAAACACTAACTTTTATCAATAGCATTTTATTTTTTTTAAATGGTTCTTATCATAATTATTGTACAATTAAAAAAAAATATATATATTCATATATATATATAGCGATATATATATTCATATATATAGCGTTAATTTCAGAAACAAATATTTTAACATGTTCATTTGTTTCAAACAAAAATAATATCAGAACAAAGCATAAAGATCTGATCACCATATAACAAATGTACAAATACAACATATGATAAATAAATGACATATCATCATCACATAAACAAAATGTAGCTGAAACAAAAATTGAGAATGACTAAAAAGACAGGGAATTACTTTTAAAGCATTTGAATATAAATGATGCTCAATAATTTCTTTAGCTTTACCTAACATTATCACAATTTCTTTTATAATTAAATTTATTAAAAAAAATAAACCAAACGTTTAATGACAAAAGAAGGGAAACAACTGAAGTATTTGCATAACAACTACTTATCACATTTACTTCCTTTTAATAAATTCTGCATAATTAATTTAGTATGCTTGTAGTTCTTTTTTCATTATTTTAAAAAATCTGAATTTAGACGAAGTAAGTTATTTATTAATTCTGTCATTACATGGAAATTTTGTTTGAGCATTTTGTCACTTGTTTAATAATAATTATTAGAAAATTTATAATTGTGCTTAAAAATGCATTCCAATTTAAAATTTAACAAATCATGAAATTTCACAATCCTAAACACAAAAAAGTAAACAAGGGACTTTGTAAAAATAAATTTATTTTAGGATTGCCACCCCTTCTGAAATAGTGACATATTTTTAAAGTGAACAAGTCTGAAGCGAATAACTTTGATAACTTCTGAAAAATTTGACTAACAGAAAGGTAAAGCAAAGCAAAATACTAAGTTAAACAGGATGCATAATTTTGCAAATTTATAATTGTCATTCAACCTTTCAGCCATCACATTTTCTTGTAAGACAACATAAAAGTACAAGGTAATTTGATATTTATCAATGTAATCTTATAACTAGAGCATGTAAAAAAACATAGTTTACATTTTGAAAAATCATAAAACCATCTATTGTTTATATTCACCGCAAAGTGGTCATAATGCCTCTGTTTTTAAACTGAAAAATCCGGACATCCAAACAATATGAATATATTAAACTCTGTAAGTATAGCTGTAGTGGAAAATAAGTAAAAAGTTTAAATTTCAGTTAAATTATAACTGTATGAAACTTAGACAAAAAATGGCAGAAAAATATGAAAATCTGAAAATTTCAAGGGGAGATAACTCTTGATTTTTTCGATCAAATTTGAAAACAGACCATATCTTTAAGTTTGTATTGAAATTATCTTTCCAATGATATATAACACTTATTACTCCAATTTATTTCAAATTTTGGCTTGTGGTACCTAACTCATATAGGGAACAATTTAGTTTGGCCCGAATTTTGCCCTTCTTTATTTAATATAAAAATATATGGTTATAGCGAACACGGTTATAAGGAATTATCGCTTATAATGAACTCATTTCTTAGTCCCAATCTAGTTAAAAGTACAGAAAATTACACTTTTATAACGAACTCCAAAATATTGGCTATCCGTACATAGACTTTCATTTTCATTGGCACGGATTAAAACTCGGCCGAATGTACCGTTTATAGTTGTATGTACTTCAATACATCTATTAAAATGAATTTGTATAGTTTTCTATTTAGGATATTTTTAGCGGTTATTTATTTCTTTTCGTCAATAGTTTTGCTCAAGTAAAATAACTATAATAATTTATAATCGGTTTTCAACATAATTACGCATGCTTGCAATCTGCAATGTACGCTTAATTTAAATGAAAAGAAATCATTATCTTCCATAAGTAAAAGTCACCCTTAAATAATAATAGAAGATATTCAAAATCTTGTTTATTCTCAATCATGGAAAGAAAACGAAAAGAGTTTAGAAACAAAATATTATATTTTATGAGAAATTGACATAGGGAGTAAATCTTAAACTGGAATAGCAATTATTTAAATTCCAAAAAGTACGCTCTCGGGTATTGTGTCTAAAATAGAAATATATGACTAATATTTCTTAATCAAATTAATGCTCTTCAAAATGGCGGACAATGGTAAACAATCAGTTCGTTATATGTAAATCTGTTCTCTATAAAAACTCCTGATACAAGGAACTAATTCGCTATATGCTTACAAGGAACTCCGGATATGAGGAACAGATTATGAATGTCCCAATGAGTTCGTTATAAGCGGAGTTTACTGTATACAAGTTATACAACATAGAAAAGTAGAGTAATTGAAAAATGCAATAAGACAATGAATACAAACATTTGAATGTATGAAATTGTACATTTTATGAGACATATATGTGACATTAAAACATAGCTAGATTATTGGGTGCCCACCAGAGAACCACCATTTAAGATATTAAGTTTTGAATGTTTGTATGTTGGAAGAATTTCTTATGTTTAAAGGGAGGGAGTTCCAAAATTTTGAGCCTGAATATGATAGAATTCTAATGGAATTTTCTGCAGAATTCAATTCTTGGTTTGGGGACTAAAAGAAGTCTTTGTTCATAATTATGATCTTAATGATTTATTTTCTGTATTTGTAAAAAGATTTCGCATATAATCAGGGAGAAGGACTTGTATACTAAAATGGCCTTTTTATAATTCACTCTATCAGAGAATTTCATCCAGTTTAATTCAGAAAATAACTCATCAGTAGGCGCATCAAAATCTTTATCAAGTATTATTCTTGCTGCACGTTTTTGAAATTTATACATGTCATTTAAGAGCTTCTTACTGCAATTACCCCAAATAGTGCAACAATAGTCTAAATGAGGAAGAATGTATGCGTTAAAGAACATTTTCCTAACTTGAAGATTGTAAGTTTAAATAAAAAGGGCAATAACTCCAACATTAGGCAAGGCAGAATTACGGCTCTTTTGCACTACACTTCTAATTAATATTATATTTATCTACCTACAAAGTTTCATGTTGATACCTGTTATTATTTTTTTAATAAATTTTTATGTTTCGGACAAAATTCAAAGTGTAAAAATGAACAAAGGGCAATAACTCAAAAATTAGGCAAGGCAAAGTTACGGTTCTTGTGCACTGCACATATACCCAAAGAGATTTATCGACCTACAAATTCTCATGGCGATACCTCTTGTTATATCAGATATATGTGCCGGACAGGAAAAGCGGATGGACGAAGCGGCGACTATATGGCCACCCTTTAAGGAGCATACAAATCATTAAAGGGCTATAACTGCGACGAAAACCATCGAACCGTTCAAAAGCCGATGATTCCTATATGTGGCCACTTACTCTTCAGAGGTGACACAATAATAATATCTGTCATATGTTGCGGTTCGGACCGGAATATCCGTCCCCAGGGGACCCGCCCATTGGGTGGTAACGAGCCTTGCCGAGTTACCGCCCATTGGCGGGTTCCTGAGGGACGGATATTCCGTTTCGAACCGCAAACATATGTCAGATATTTTTTCTTGCATATTCTGACATATTATTTCATATTTACACCAATATGATATATGTTCATGGAAATTAGTCATTTCATCCATAACTATTTTCTTACAATAGCATATGAACTTACAACTTAAATAACAACGGCAAAATGACGTCATCCTAAGCACATATTTCCCTTCTAAAACAACGTCATTTTAACGCGGTTTATTCATAAAGTGCGCTAAAATGACGTTGTTGTTTGGCATGCGACTTATCTGGCACCCCCATGCCAGATAATTTCCGGTATGGGTAAAACTCACGGAAACGCCAGTCTGCTATGCAAGAATAATAATATCTGTCATATGTTGCGGTTCAGACCGGAATATCCGTCCCGAGGGGACCCGCCCATTGGGCGGGTTCCTGAGGGACGGATATTCCGGTCCGAACCGCAAACATATGTTAGATATTTTTTCTTGCATATTCTGCCATATTATTTCATATCTTAAATGATTTACCTCAATATGATATATGTTCATGGAAATTAAAGTCATTTCATCCATAACTATTTTCTTACAATAGCGTATGAACTTACAACTTAAATAACAACGGCGAAATGACGTCATCCTAAGCACATATTTCCCTTCTAAAACGACGTCATTTTAACGCGGTTCATTTATAAAGTGCGCTAAAATGACGTTGTTTGGCACGCGACTTATCTGGCACCCCCATGCCAGATGAAATTTCCGGCATGGGTAAAACTCACGGAAACGCCAGTCTGCTATGCAAGAAAAAGAAGTTTTAGTAAAAAGTAACTTTTTAAAAAGAAATTTTAGAGGAGATAATTATTGAAATAGTGGTGCTTGTGTTTTTTCTTACATATGGTTCAGGTGATGAGCATTTATAATAATAAATATACAACTGCACAAACATTTTAACAGCTAAATTACAATACAGCATAAACTGTTTCAAAAATTGAGGTAGGTAACAATTTATAACAGGTATGAATCATATATAATTCCTAATTAGCGAGGTATTTGAAAATATGTACTGTACACTTGTAAATGACCATCCAGTCTTAACAATACTTAGTGTTCTTTGCTAAATCTAACTTTTTACATAAGACAAGTGAAATGTCACATGAAATTTCTTCCCATTGTGGTTTGTGAAACTGTGAGGTTATAATGTGTATGATACTTCTTTTTCAGGTTTGTCAGAATTACCTCATAGATCTTGTGTGTAACATCTTGGATATTTATCTTCTGTTAAACAATGAAGTCTGGAAGATCTGAAAGACAGAAAAAATGTCTCTATCAATATTAAACATGTCAGACAAATATGACAATTTTCTAAAAATAGCAACAATGACGCAAATTCTAAAAATAGCACCAATGATGCAATTTCTAAAAACAGAAATTATGACGCAATTTCTAAAAATAGCAAAAATGATGCAATCTCTAAAAATACTAAAAATAGAAATTATGACGCAATTTCTAAAAATAGAAAAAATGACGCAATATCTAAAAATAGAACCAATGACGCAATTTCTAAAAATAGAAATTACGACGCAATTTATAAAAATAGAAATTATGACACAATTTCTAAAAATAGCACCAATGATGCAATTTCTAAAAATAGAAATTATGACATTTCCAATTTCTAAAAATAGAAAAAATGATGCAATCTCTAAAAATACTAAAAATAGAAATTATGACGCAATATCTAAAAATAGAAAAAAATGATGCAATTTCTAAAAATAGAAATTATGATGCAATTTCTAAAAATAGAAAAAATGATGCAATCTCTAAAAATAGAAACAATGACGCATTTCTATAAAAAAAACCCAAAAAAACAATGACCCAATTTCTCTAAATAGAAACAATGACGCAATTCTATAAATAGAAACAATGACGCAATTCTATAAATAGAAACAATGACACAATTTTAGTTATTGTTGTTGTTGTTGTAAATATATATATATAGACACACACACACCAATAAATATTTAAATATGGTCATTTACTGCACAAATCTGAGAAAATTCAGTAATTTAACCTTCAAGGTCAAGGTCATTTAAGAGCCCAAGCAAAGTTGGGTTTGATAAACAACAAGGTCTGGTCCTTAAGAATGTTCTCTAATAATATGAAGTTGATCCCTTCAATAATAGCAAAGTTACAGTCAGTGACCGCCAAAACAATGAAAATTTCAATAATTTGACCTTCAAAGACAATGTCATTAATGTGTGAAGGTCAAGGTCTTCCGGTATATCTTTAACAGTAATCTTTGAAGATTATTATGTTCAAGTTTCAGGACAATCCATTCAAAAATAACAAAACTTACAGCCAATAAAAGCCAAAAAAATGAAAATTTCAATAATTTGACCTTCAAAGTCAAGGTCATTTATGAGTGAAGGTCAAGGTCTGGCTGGTTATTTTTAAGGGATATCCTTAAAGATTATTATGTTCAAGTTTGAAGACAATCCATTCAAAAATAACAAAGTTACAGCCAATAACAGCATGAACAAGCAAAAATTGGACTTTTAACCTTGAAGGTCAAGGTCATTTATGGATGAAGGTCAAGGTTAGTGTGGTCTACTGAAAGGTCTTGTCCCAAGGGTTGTTGTGGCCAAGTATGAAGACAATACACAAAGAAATAAAAAAGTTATGATCCAGGTACAAGTTTTCGGACGGCAACGGCAACGCCGACCTGACTGTAGCAATACCTCTATTTTTTTTTCAAAAAAAAAAGTCGAGCTAAAAATGTATATAAAGGTACAATCTGATATGGAGTCTTTGCTAACATTAAAAAAAGAAATGCATTTTATTGAATCATTGAATGTGTGTTTTACACATAATCTTGAAAAATATATAATGCTATAATAATGCTTAATTTAAATTATAGAAATATAGACAGCTTTAATGTGATGAAGTCCTCTTGATAACAAATAATAGACGAATTCATATTTGATTGAGCCCCATATAGCCATTGCTCCAATTTTTAGTTAAACAAGGTCTCAATATCAACATATGGTATGTTATAGATTGTACCCCATATAAGAAAGAGTAACAAGAGGGCCATGATGGCCCTGAGGTCGCTCACCTGAATATAGGCTCCCCCAACCCCCATCCCCCAACGTTGCAGGGCCAATTTAACCCAAGGGCTTTTATTTGCACAAACTTGGTAGACACCCATAAGAAGATCATGCTAAACATCTAAGCTCTAGCTCATTGGGCTTTTTAAAAGAAGATTTTTTAAAAAGTTTTTACTATACACATATAGTTAAAAACAATGACACCCCTGGGGCCAATTTTGACCCCAGGTCTTTTATTTGAACAAACTTTGTAGACACACACTAAAAGATGTTTCATGCTTAATATCTTAACTCTAGCTATTTGGGTTTTTTCAAAGAAGATTTTTTAAAGTTTTTGCTATACACATATAAGGAAATCAATGACCCCCGGGGCGGGGCCAATTTTGACCCCAGGGCTTTCATTTGAACAAACTTGGTAGACACCTATTAGAACATGTTTGATGCTAAATATCTAAGCTCTAGCTCTTACAGTTCTTTAAAAGAAGATTTTTTAAGTTTTTACTATATGCACTATAGACACTTATTAGAACATGTTTCATGTTAAATATCTTAGCTCTAACTCTTTGGGTTCTTTAAAATAATATTAAGTAATTAAATAATAAGTTTTTACTATATGCATATAGGGAAAATAAATGACCCCCTGGGGCGGGCCAATCTTCACCCCAGGGCTTTTATTTGAACAAAATTGGTAGACACTCACTAGAAGATGTTTCATGCCAAATATCTTAGCTCTAGCTCTTTGGGTTCTTTAAAAGAAGATTTTTTAAATTTTTACTATATGCATATAGGGAAAATCAATGACCCCCTTGGGCAGGGCCAATTTTTACCCCAGGGCTTTTATTTGAATAAACTTGGTAGACACTCATTAGAAGATGTTTCATACCAAATATCTAAGCTCTAGCTCTTAGGGTTGTTTAAAAGAAGATATTTAAAGATTTTTCTTTCGGTTGCCATGGCAACCAGAGTTCTGCATGGAATTAAATTCTTTGAACAATTTTTAAAGGTGACCACCAAAGGAACATTCCTTTGAAGTTTGGATGAAATTGGCTCAGTGGTTTATGAGGAGATTTCATTTAAAGCAAAAGTTTACTGACGGACGCCGGACGGACGCCGGACGAAAACCGATCACAAAAGCTCACCCTGTCACTTTGTGACAGGTGAGCTAAAAAATGGAGTCTTTTAATAATATACATTGTAGGTATCATGTAGCCACAACCCAATTGTTAATGATCATGTACTAGGGATGATAAAACTTGATGACAGTCAGCATTTAAGAAGATATGTATTAAAATTAAAATACATTAGCAAGAACTGTCGGAGGACAGTAACGCTCGACTATTCGAAAAGTTCTCACAAGAGTATTTCATTGAGTATAATAATACTTACCTATATGAATACATAAAATTGTCCAAAAAGGTACAAAGGCTTGTTATTAAGATGTTTTATCGAGTTAATCACTGCTTTATTATAATAAAATGCATAAAATTGTTCAAAAAAGGCACAAACCCTTCAGTAGTTTAATGGAGATATTTGCTTAACCAAAATTTATAAGTAGAAAAAGGGGCATAATTATGCAAAAAGCAAATCAGAGTTATGGGACTTATTCTAATCATGTAAGATAATCACAGAGAACAAGTGTGTGAAGTTTCAATCCATTACCTTCAGTAGTTATGGAGATACCAGCTTGCATGCAAAAACTTAACAAAGAATTTCTAAGTTGAAAAAGGGGCATAATTATGTAAAAAATGCACATCAGAGTTATTGGACTTGCGCCAATCATGTTAGATAATCACAAAGAACAAGTGTGAGTAGTTTCAAGCCTTTCCCTTCAGTAGTTATAGAGATGACAGCTTGCACGCCAAAACTAAACCAAGAATTTCTAAGTCGAAAAAGGGGCATAATTATGCAAAAAAGCAAATCAGAGTTATGGGACTTGTGCCAATCATGTCAGATAATCACAGAGAACAAGTGTGTGAAGTTTCAATCCATTCCCTTCAGTAATTTTTGGAGATACCAGCTTGCACGCAAAAACTTAACCAAGAATTTTTAAATTGAAAAAGGGGCATAATTATGCAAAAAAGCACATCAGAGATATGGGACTTGTACAAATCATGTAAGATAATCACAGAGAACAAGTGTGTGAAGTTTCAATCCATTCCCTTCAGTAGTTATGGAGATACCAGCTTGCACGCAAAAACTTTACCAAGAATTTCTAAGTCGAAAAAGGGGCATAATTATGCAAAGAAGTAAATCAGAGTTATGGGACTTGTGCCTATCATATGAGATAATCACAGAGAACAAGACTTAGTGTGTGAAGTTTCAATCCATTCCCATCAGTAGTTATGGAGATACCAGCTTGCATGCAAAAACTTAACCACAGGGACATCGACGCCGACAAATGGGTGACTGCATTAGCTCGATTATTCTGCAAATAGTCGAGCTAAAAATGTATATAAATAAACAATAAATAGTTATCTCAGAGTTTCACGGCCACTTTTTAGGACCACTATTAAAATTTAATTACATAAATTAAAGAAACAATAGAGTAATTTACATTAAAAAGTATCTGAACTGTACACTATTACAATATTTAAAGGTACTCTTAATTGCTATACAAAAAACAACAGAGTCATAATAGCAACACCCCTTGGCAGTTAATTGTGAAAATACATATAGCTACTATATATATGTAGCTTGATCAGATGGAGCTGTCTCCCATAGACTGTTATAATGCTATCAGTGTATATATAGCATTAAGTTACCACATACAAAAATTTGGTAAGTGTAACTATAATGTGACATGTTATATCTGTCTTGACATGTCTTTAATATGTTAATTTATAAGACCAAAACATTTTCTAATTTAGAATAATATAGGATTAAAATCAACTTGAATTAACAAACTCCTCTAATAGGGGCCGTATTGAACACCTGTGTACACTATCACAGGGTTTATTAATGTTTTTATACTAAAAGAGTAGTGGAAAATTAATATATGTACCTTTATACAAGTTATATCTGTCTTAACATGTCTCTAATATGTATGTAGAATTATTAAACCCAAACAGTTTTGATTTAGAATAATAAAGCATTACAAATAATTAAGTTTTTTAAGTCTTATGGAAAAATTATGGTTATTAGTAGATATTTAAAGTTTGAATTATGGTCTGGCAACCAAGGCTCGTAATTATTTTATAGCAGAGTTCAGTATTTTTCATATAAATCAGTGTAAGTTTCCCCTTTGATATATTATAATTGGTGTTTTATATATAGAAATTCCTTTATTATAGTCATTTTAGGGCATTTTACCACTAATTAACATAACAAATCAATTGCAATACTTTCCATATGATCATAAGTATCTAGTTTCAGTAAGTTTACAGAGTGGTATCAAACAAACCACAAATATTTAAGCGGGGGGGGGGGCGGGAGGACAACTCATACTATTACAAGTAATTTTCCTTTAATAGCTACAAATCTTCTTATTTTCCATATTATTAACAGGTATTATGTTATACTTATGAAAACTAGCTAATTTATACTCAAAATAAATCTTATTGGAACCATATTATGTTTATAGAGCTATTTATTAAGTAAATTCAGTTTGCCTATTGAAAAATCAGTATTGGTCCATATTTCTGAGTTACTTCCCTTGTACTATGCATAGCCATTATGTGTAATATTAGATTTATATATCATAGGGAAATGGCCATATCTTTTTTAATTTCCAATGAAAATTGATAGTGTTTCATTTATGTATTCAGTGAAAGCTTGCTCTTAATTAATATTACTATATGAAATTTGTAAATAACGAAGATTTTCTTGTGGGGGAGGTTAAATTAGAGTAATTTTTCCTTATTTATTGTTAAATTGACTACATGTATTTATCTTAAAGTTGGTATACTATATAGGAAAATAACTAGAACTTATTTTAGTAAACCACAGAACTTGATGGGGATTTTTTTGTTTAGACCCTTAATGATGTTTGTTAATTGTTGTTAAATAATAATATAGATGTTTCATTTCCATTTTAGTTTTATTTAGGGTTTTATTGGGTCAAATTATGTCAATTTATAGATATTTCACTGATTTTCATAGGAATCTTAAATATCTATTTGTTTGATACCAGATGTGATTATTATACATGTGTTTAAAATGAAATAGCTATTAACTGAGTTGTTATACTGTGTTTTTAGGTTATCAATTGATATTTAAATGCAAAATTGGAAGAAGTTATCTGATACGGTTCGAGCTTATTAATATTTTATAAGTCTAGAAAAAAAACCAGTGCCGTCAGAGACTTTAGTATACAAACTGGGTCCCATAACAAGAGCTGTCGGTGGGACAGCAACGCTCGACTATTCTTAGTGCTTGATAATAAAAAAAAGTGCTTGATACAGTTACCTCCTCCTGTTTACAGGTTGGGGTCATGATGGTGAACAAGTGTGCAAAGTTTCAAAGCCATATATGTCAATGGACTTTGAAAATATTTGAACTATTACAAAAACTTTAACATAAGTGGTTACGCTGACGCCAACGCGGACGCTCGGGTGACTACAATAGCTCTACTTATTCTTATCGAATAGTCGAGCTAAAAACCTATGTTTTAAGTAGAAGGTATAGGTGTACAAATATTAAAATCTACAAATTAATGTCAGAGAGGAAGAGGAGTAGGATATTACTTTAAAGACCTGTCATGACTTTTTATGTTATATCTACTACTGGGATCTTAGTAACAGTTAATTATTTTAATAAATAAATTAAAGTGTCACCATTATTTTGCGTTAAGCGAAATAAATATTATAAGGGAAGTGGTCAAATCCCATATTATCATCAACTACACCCACTGTCAAAGAAGCTGAAATTTTGGGGGAGGCCAGGGTAATGTCTATACATGAGAATGTAACATAACCCTTATTAAACCTAGTTGGTTAGCCACAATTTAAAAGCACTAAACCTGTGTTTTCGACCCATGTCTAAATTTCCTTACCCCTATTATATCCATACGAAAATACCCAGGTGCGCAACTACACATGCTGATTTACATTCCTGTAAAGTTTCATGACTCTAGGTCAAATACTTTTTGAGTTACGTGTGACACAAGTGAATGGACGGAAGAACGGACAGACAAGGGTAGATCTAAATGCCTGCCACTAAAGTGGGGGCACAATAAAAGTTAATTTTAGGGATGGACGCCTGATGAAAAGCGATCACAAAAGCTCACCATGTCACTTTGTGAAGGTGAGCTAACAAAAAAAAAATCTATCTATCAATTTCAATGCAGTTGACAACTAATTCCAAGCCTATTTGATTACTCTTTAAAGTTGAGGTATTATGCATGCATTAACAATGGTCAACCTTAAATAAAATATTACTCCTTTATATAAAGTTTGACAGTGATTCAAACAAACTGAAGAATAAATACATAGTCTAGCTATGACTTAGTTTAATATTATGAAAATATATTATAGTCCTGTACAGTAGACTTTAAACAAGAGGGCCATGATGGCCCTGAGGTCGCTCACCTGTATATAGGCCCCCCGCCCCCGGGCCAATTTTTACCCAAGGGCTTTTATTTGTTTATTTGAACAGACTTGGTAGACACCCATAAGAAGATGTTTCATGCTAAACATCTAAGTTCTAGCTCATTGGCATTTTTAAAAGAAGATTTTTAAAGTTTATACTATACACATATAGTTAAAAACAATGTCACCCCTGGGGCAGGGCCAGTTTTGACCCCCGGGCGTTTATTTTAACAAACTTTGTAGATATTTACTTAAAGATGTTTCATGCTTAATATCTAAACTCTAGCTATTTGGGTTTTTCCAAAGAAGATTTTTAAGTTTTTGCTATGTATACACATATAAGGAAAATCAATGCCCCCCCCCCCCCCGGGCGGGGCCAGTTTTGACCCCAGGGCTTTTATTTGAACATACTTGGTAGACACCCATTAGAACATGTTTCATGCTAAATATCTTAGCTCAGATAGCTCTTTGAGTTCTTTAAAAGAAGATTTTTTAAGTTTTTACTATATGCATACAGGGAAAATCAATGACCCCCTGGGGCGGGGCCAATTTTGACCCCAGAGCTTTTATTTGAACAAACTTGGTAGACACTCATTAGAAGATGTTTCATGCTAAATATCTTAGCTCTAGCTCTTTGGGTTCTTTAAAAGAAGATTTTTTAAGTTTTAACTATATGCATATAGGAAAAAACTATGACCCCCTGGGGCAGAGTCAATTTTAACCCCAGGGCTTTTATTTGAACAAACTTGGTAGACATTCACTAGAAGATGTTTCATGCCAAATATCTAAGCTCTAGCTCTTATGGTTCTTTAAAAGAAGATTTTTTAAGTTTTTACAATATGCATATAGGGAAAATCAATGACCCCCTGGGTCGGGGCCAATTTTGACCCCAGGGCTTTTATTTGAACAAACTTGGTAGACATTCACTAGAAGATGTTTCATGCCAAATATCTAAGCTCTAGCTCTTACGGTTCTTTAAAAGAAGATTTTTTAAGTTTTTACTATATGCATATAGGGAAAATCAATGACCCCCAGGGGCGGGGCCAATTTTGACCCCAGGGCTTTTATTTGAACAAACTTGGTAGACACTCACTAGAAGATGTTTCATGCCAAATATCTAAGCTCTAGCTCTTATGTTTTTTTAAAAGAAGATATTTAAAGTTTTTTCTTTTGGTTGCCATGGCAACCAGAGTTCTGCATGGAATTAAATTCTTTGAACAATTTTTAAAGGTGACCTCCAAAGGAACATTCCTGTGAAGTTTGGATGAAATTGGCTCAGTGGTTTATGAGGAGATGTCATTTAAAGAAAAAGTTTACGGACGGACGGACGGACGGACGACGGACGGACGGACGGACGCCGGACGAAAAGCGATCACAAAAGCTCACCCTGTCACTTTGTGACAGGTGAGCTAAAAATAACTTAATGTTGTTGCATTAAAATGTGCCAAGTTCAAAATAAAAATCCATAGAAATTCAGAAAATATAAAATAATATAAATAACTTACTTTTTATATAAAGAAACATCAGTCCATCCTTAACACTTCCAGAAGATAATCCAAGTTGTCTATTTATATGTACACATTTTAAAATGTTTCCTTATCTATGCCCTGCAGTAAATTTCTGATTAAAAATAAAAAAAGATGTCTATTTCACCTGTCATTTGTCTCATTATCTATTTATAAATTGTTTCTCCCAAGTTCATTTAAGGTTACTCAGTACTTGTTGTTGTTTTAAACGCAAACACATACACACCAGATTTCATGGGGCCATCACCGGTGACCACAAACTTGTTTGATTGTTTTATAAATGTTTTAAAGTTTTCAAATTCTGTTTCTGGTTTTATATCACAACCTTGTATATATACTGTCACTGTATGTGGTAGTTTGTTTATAACAGTAATAAGATCATGTAACACTGAACAAGACATTGTTATATAACCCAAGTGAACACGTTCAATATTGATCATTTGAGGTGACAGTGTTAATGATCTTTTACCTAGATTGATTCTACCCAACCTAACAGCTTTCACATGATATAACAATGATAATGTTTGTAACATTGTTTCTATGTCACTGGAAGATTCTAGATCACCACACTGAAATTTTTGTAGTTTACTGGCTGCTGGTAGTTGACTGAGATAAGATGACATAACACCAGGTTTATATAATTCACCTACCTTACAATCCTCTAACAATGATACATCCATGTTTAATTGTGACACAGGTATATACATCAATCCTAAACATCTTAGTTGTGAATGTTGAGACAGGTCAAGGTTGAATCCCCTACATGAAGTATCATGATCACTACAGTATAAATTGCTCAATGTTATTTCTTTCATTGATTTTTTACTAGTGAGGAAATTTAACAATGCCTCCATTACCTCATGGGTCATAGTGAAACAGTTTATAAATAAACACTCCAGGTGTTGTAATTTTACCAGTCCTCCATTTATCTCTGCAGACAGCTGGCAACGTTTTCCTACAAAGTTATGATTTTCCCATTTACTTGATATCACAGTTAAACATTTTAAAGGGTTCAATAACAAGCTCATTATTTCCTCTTCTACAATTTCACCTCTATAGAATAATTTCTCTATATGTGGAAGGTCAGAGAGTGTTAACAAACTGATAATTTCTTGTAGACTACAAACACCTTCATTTTCTATCATTATTGATTTTATATTTTCTTTATTTTGGTGACACAAATGTTGTAATTGTTTGAAGTAGTTTTCTTGTTGACATTTTTCATTAATGAAGAAATCTTGTAAACACAATTTGAGGTCTTTGTTTTCCTGGCTTTCTTTGGAACAACAAATGTACATGTCTTGTATGTCTTGTAATGGATCAATGTACATGTAATCATAACCTGTCAAAGTTCTGTATTTGCTTGTTTTTTCATCATTGTTTATCACAGGCATCAAATCACTGGATATTGTAGACATTAATTTAGGGTTCATGTAACTAATAAATCCAAACACTTTTGACATGTCTAGAATATTTTGTAAGCAGTTGCACTCTTCAAAGATGATTTTTTGAACTTCACTTGTATTTTGAAAACTTATAAATATTGCTGAAAAGTATTCCTGCACTGTTTTATGTGAAAATGATATTTTAAAACTTTCATTTATTAATGTTTTCACTTTACTTTCTGATAATATTCCTGATAGACAGCTTGATTTCAAATCTTCTTGGTTTAGATATTTTTCTGCAACATTTTTATCAAAAACTAATGTGTGCTCTTTTTTCTTACTGAACAATGTATAAAAAGCTAGTTTCCCAATGGTCACCAGAAACGTGTAGTAACTACAGAAATGTTGATGTCTTCTGAAACATTCAGGAACATTACTAGGGGATGTTACATATGATGAATGAAACTTTCCATGTAATTTTTCTGTTCTAGATAGAAGGAGCTGAATAATGCCTGTATATAATTCTACTGCAGAATTTCCTATTGGAATTTTTTCAACCCATAAGCATATAAGATAGAGTAACAGGAGAGGGGTGTATTCCATATCTTCAAGGTCATGGTCACTGATTGATTCTTCAAATGTACACACTTCATTTTTCAGTTTACCATCTTGAAGGTTTACATTCAACATTTTCAGTGCATTAAGCTTAAACTGCCATGCATTATCTTCATTTAGTTCAACTAGCTCTATTATTTTGTCCATTTGACTTGTCTTTAAGTTTGAGACTCCAAGCTTCCATGGCCGGGTCGTTGTTAAAATTACAGACTTTTCACGTGCATATCGATGTGGAATACTTTTAGGAAGTCTTGTACACTCGTTTTCAGGATGTAACCATTCATCTAGTCCATCTAATATAACAAGACATTTTTCATCACGTAGAATGTCCTTTAATAGTCCTTTCGGCAATGAAGATGAGCACGGAAGATATTGTATGACTTGTTGTTCAATCATGTCGTCAACATCACAGACTTTAGCTGAATCTCTCAATAGCACTAGAAATAAAAACTCAAAGCCAGATAAAGCCTCTAATTCTTCTTCTTTAAAATGCTTGTAATTTTCATCCTTTTTATGAGCTTGACACCATGTTATAGCGAGATATTTTGAAAATGCTGTTTTCCCAAATCCAGCGACAGCTGATAAATATATTTCCCGTGGAACTTTTCTACCAGATGTAAACAGGTCCTGTAATGACTTGACTCTAGTTGCTTCTTTCCTACCGCCTGGCAGATAAGTCTGTATGTCAATTTCTGGCATAATGTAGAACCCGGCTAGAGGGGTAGGGAAAGCATCTGTGAGTGGTGAAAGATAAACTGTACTCTGATTGGTGTTGTACCATGTTATAAGTTCATCTTTTAGTTCTGAAATAGAAATAATTCTCGCATTATTAATTTATAAATATAAACTATAGATCTACTATACAATGTCATTAAAGTATATGAACACAATTTTTAATGCTTTTATATTTTTTGTAGCTCTACTATACTGGCGATTTGTAGTGTCACAGTTTAAAATGCACTGAAAAAGACAAAATATCATTAATCTAGATAGATCTACATTTTGTAAATTAAATAAAGTTCTCCCTAATATGAACATGTAGACTTAGTAAGATAAATAGAACACACGGGTCGTCTGCTACTGTACAGTAACTAACGAAGCAGACGAACACAAAATTCTCTAATTAGAACTGAACTTAAACTCAAACAAAACAAAACATGTTTTTAATACCTATTTGCTGTATTTGCAGAGCACCTCACTTGATTTTTTAATCAATTCAGTCTACATCTTAAAGTTTTGTAAATCATAAATAATTTTTTGAGCAGCCTGCTGCTGTCTTTACTATATCAATGCACCGAAGGAACCCTTGCACTGACTAACTGTAATAAACATCTCAATCTAAAAATAGTTCACCTGACGTAGAAACAAGAAATGAGCCGCATCATGACAAAACCAACATAATGGGTTTGCGACCAGCATGGATCCAGACCAGCCTGCGCATCCGCGCAGTCTGATCAGGATCCATGCTGTTCGCTTACAGATCCTATAACAAGTAGAGAAACTGATAGCGAACAGCATGGATTATGATCAGACTGCGCGGATGCGCAGGCTGGTCTGGATCCATGCTGGTCGCAAACCCACTATGTTGGTTTTGTCGTGACACGGCTCAAATATCTTTTGATACACTGCCAAGTTTAACCACAGGAAATTGTTCAAAGTTTGAAACTAAAAATGTAAAAAGGAACAGTTTATTTTAATTACATTGTTAGAAGGGAAGAATTTTATGCCTCCATCCACAGGCGCTAGTCACATAATCAAATATTTTACATAACCGGTCTATATATGTATATATCTTATTATTATTGTATATAGCCAATATAAAACTTTAAAAAGTTTGTTTCAAGCACCTGTGCCTCCATTCTAGGACTGAAAGGGAGGTATTTAGAGGTGTCCTTGCATGTTCGTCCGTGCACGCGCACGTGCTTACGTTCATATGTAAATCTGAAAGTCCTTAAGATAGAGTCAACTTTCTTTATTACAGCATGTAAAGTTGTGCGCTTGGGGTTTGTTTCGAGTTTCGAGAAATGTCGTGCATATAAGTATAACCATTAAAGTAGATTCTACTGTTCTATCTTTTTTAGCATAATATTAGGATATAGATTTCAGATTTGAAATTTTTAATATTGAGAAAAGTCTATGACGTCACTTTTTCGCCATCTAATGCATTCGTTTATGTCAAACCACTTGCCTCTAACCGCTCTGGGTTTAAATCCCGTCAGGGACTTTGGATTATTTCATGTACGGAAGCTAACCAGCTAGCTTTCGGACCAATGTTGGTGGTGTTTCGCAACCAATCAAACAGACAAACTATCAAATTAATCTATTCGCTATTGAAAATGAAATACATAATTAAATTGAATATTACAGCTTGAAACGACACCAAGGACTCATGATATAATACCAGGCTCCGAAGAGTAGAAAAAGTAAAATTGTTTTCATCTTTTAATCATGCCAATTATAACCCCTTTTAAATTGAATTTTTTCAAAGAAAACATTTGCAATATAAAATAGAGAAAAACAAAATCCATATAGAAAGTCCAACACGGCAAAATTGAATGTTGCAGGCTCGGTTTGATTGAGCCTGTTCATGGACGGTACTGGAAAGTGCAAGTTACCGTCCACGCCCCTAGCACAGGCTTAAGCAGAAATGAACATTTAAACACGAAAATGGTGAAATTTTGAATATAGAAACATCCGCAGATGTTTTCTTACGGCGATAATAATGGACATCAAATGTGAAACAGTAGTGCCATTCCATGAAAAACGGCGTATGGTCCCCAAGTAGAGAATGCGTGTGCCCTAAATGAGAAAACAATGGGCGCAACTAAATAAAATGGACCTTCGAAAGGGGATCTGAGGTTATGAAAACTGTGGTTTTTTGCGTCCAGGTTCTGTCTCACGGTAAAAAAAGATCAGACGTGTGTATATTTCGATTATCTGATCTTTTATTGTTCCTCTGTTTTAAAGGCACATTATGCGTCAGCAGTGCTAACATGTTTATTTCTCAAAAACTTTGGCATATTGTTACAGTTTAAAAAAAACATACTCATCTGCCACATGCATGAAATGTCTTTTGTATCTCAAGCTCTGTTGGTAATTTGCTTATTATCATAGTGAATATATATTTTGTATAAAATTCAAATTCTACTTATTTACACTTTTCTGCCTTTACGACACATTATTGCTTGTTCAGCTGTAAAACATCTAACA